TTGGCTTAATATAACCCCAACGGACCGTATTTTTGTGAAAGATTGTTTTTTTGTCCTGATTTGTATTAATCTGTAAAACGCGTTTCACAACTTGTCTCTTATTTAGTTTTATGCGTCATTCAAGATGGCGGCCCCCATATAGTAAATATCGTATTTATTTTATTATCACGTGTGCGCCAGCTGACTGTGCCATGGAAATACCTGTCATTTACATCTTCTTACCTGGGTCTCCATGTCGTTGTCTGGGCTACGCCCGTCCTATCTGGGTCCCCCCTAATCTTATCTGGGTCACCCCAAATCTTATCTGGGTCACCCCAAAATTTTATCTGGGTCACCCCAAATCTTGTTAACTTGGTCTCCCATGTCTTGTTACCTGGCTTCTCCATGTCTTATCTGGTTCCCCCAAGCCCTGTTATTCAGATCCCCCATGTCTTGTTACCTGGGTCCTCCATGTCTTATCTGGCTCCCCCAAGCCCTGTTATTCAGATCCCCATGTCTTGTTACCTGGGTCCCCCATGTCTTATCTGGCTCTCCAAGCCCTGTTATTCAGATCCCCCATGTCCAGTTACCTGGGTCTCCCACGTTTTATCTGGCTCCCCAAGCCCTGTTATTCAGATCCCCCATGTCTTGTTACCTGGGTCCCCCATGTCTTGTTAATATATTATAGTAAGATGCCTTGGAGAATACACTGCTTTTTATAAAATAATTATTCACTCAATCACAAACTACTATTTCATGTTTTTTATTGCAGTTACAACTACCCAACACCCAAAACATTTAATACAATATTTACAAGATTTAGTTAATATGAATGATGGTCAAGATCCATTCTTTAGTTTTCCAACTAACCAGCCTCCGCCTAAAATACCAACGTATCCTGAGGTAAGTCTTGTAATACTATTCATATTGGCTGTGTACATCTGAGGTTTCTAGCAAATAATGTGTTAACCCCAATGTTATACTTTACAAATACTCCAACTGATTACATAATGGCTCCAGAGTTGTAATGGAGTTATGGGGAAACTGGGATTGTCATTGCATATTGCAGTGTATGACACTGTGGGAGTGTGTAAAAATCCTCGGCAGTCGCTGGCTTGTTAGCTGTTGTATATATCTGGTAGCGTCGCTTATGTGTGGGCTTCGAATACGAAGGCAACGTTCAGTACCATCAATGTGGTGAAACCCATTGACGGTGCTTAACGTGGCGATGCATGTAACGTGAATTCAATTGACCTCATTGTGATGACGCATGCATTGTGAAATACGGGAAAAGAGCCCGAAGCATGCTCACTGCGTACACAATATGCTAATAATCTTTAATGAGGTTATGATGTAGACGTGTCTCGTGAATATTATTTGAAAGTGAAATTATTAATAGAAAGCATTTAGTATCAAACACCGGAATCGCGTATATTCAGTCTTGACCCCCACTTGTGGTTATTTGAAGACTGTAAATGCTTTCTATCATATTAAACTGGTCACCAAATTTAACAACTGCTTTCTCGTTTTACAATACAATCTAAATGAGCTGCGACAAGTCAAAATAGGTATTGATTGCATACAGCGCCATCCATGCATCTACAACTATAGTGATCATGATGTCTCTTGTAGTGTAAATCTGCTCATTTCACAATTTTTTTATTCTGCAATTTACAACTATGGATATCATGGCACTGATTGTATACCATATTTAACCCTTTGCGGCCATATACGGCCGCTTATTTCTGACCAAAGATAACCCAATTCGGCCGTAAAAGGCCACCCGTTAATGCACTGTCAAAATCCCAATGCGGCCGTAAACGGCCGGTATTTCATAGATTGAAACAGAAGTTGATTCTGATCTCCCCTGATCTTTGCATGAACAAATAAATTGTTGATGAAAATAATTTGAAATACAGGTACGTCCAGACTGAAAGTTATATACGAATTGTCCTCGTACTTTTCTTGTACAACGGGTTTTTCGGATGGTGTCTGTGAAGAGCTGTGAAAATTTGCATAAATAAACAAACACAGCGGCATGTTTGGTGAAAGTTCATTTATTCTATCGCAGTTTTTATCCAAAATAAACGCATAATACATATAAAATTTATATTCATCTGAACTGAAAACATTATTTAAATAAATTACCTATATAAAATGTTGTTTTTCCTTGTCGGCGAGTTTTTAATGTCGAAAAATCAGACTGTCATCGCAATCAGTCTTGGTCAACACGTGAAAATTGCCGTAGTCGCTGGTTCTGTAAAAAAGG